CCAGGTCCATTCACACTTTTTTGAGCCACCCTATAGAAGTTAAAATATTTTCCTGAAATACATCCTGGTACATACTTTAGGTTTGCACTTAAACAAAATTCTCAAGTTTTTTATTCTAGGAGCTACAGATGCCCGACGCACTATTGCCGGACCCTGTAGAGAATGATATACTCTTTTAATATGAATGATATGGACTGTCTCAAAAATAGTTGAAGATGTATATGGGAAGATTATAATAACATTTTTTTAACTACTCTCTACTATTTTTTTAAAAAAATACATATCATTTTAATATACACTCAGATGCAAAAAAAGCAACGGAGAAATTTTTGGTAAAATTTAAAGTGTCATATTTTTGTTATTTTTAGCCCTATTTTCATAAATTCTTTAGCAAGCTGAATATAATTACGTCAACTTTAATTCGTAAATTCATTTTTTTGTAAACTTTGGTATTTGGCATATTATACAGGGTTAATCGGGGAATTGTTTTTTTACCTCAACTACACTACTTCTTCAACACACAACTCACAGAAAAGCTTTCTAGCAACTGCCGCACCTGATCGTTCAACGTTGTGGCAAGTGAAAACATGCGTAAACGTCTAGAAATAATAAGAAAAAATAGCAAATTGGTCGAAAGAATTTATCCTTATCATTTACTCTGATAAATGTTTAAATAAACTTTTCAAATTTCAATCCTTGTTCTCAATGACTCGACCGATTTTCAAAAACGAAGCGGGAAAGTATAGAGAATAAAAAGCCCTTTTCATTGCGGTACCACTTGACCCCCCTTCCCATTTGAAAAAAGTTGGGGGATGACAACCCCGCTTAGAGGGTTGAAGAATTTGCAATCATTTTTGGGGCAAAAGTTGCCCCCCTCACAAACAAAATTGACGTGTTTATGAATTTTCTGAAAAAAAAATTACCCTGGCCGTTATGCTTTGCGGAACGTTTTCGATGGGCCACCCTGTATATGCTACTATGAACTGCCCATTATGTTCGACGTTTTGAGAAATGCTTGGTAGAAGGGCTAGAGGTCCCGACTTCATTAAATGAACTTAGCTTGGTCCTTAATGAAGAATGGGAAAACATAAAGCAATATGATATACCGGGTTCGTCTCAAAAGTGGCTCACCCCTATAACTGGTATTTGGTATGTTAGAATATGACATAAATTGGGATTGATTGGCGTATTCAATTGATTTCTATCACTTCCAGTTTCGCCGGAAATGGCTACAACTTTTGATTTTTAAATGACACCCTCGGTATTTTTTTTACTTTATTTGATAGAAAGTAACACTCTGAATCATGCATAGACATATACATAGACATATCATATGTCAACTTTTGACATATTTGCTCAAAAGGAAATTGTATTTTAAATTTCACTCTAGAGTGCCATGACTGTGTTAAAAACACTAATTTTTAATCAAGGAACCTTGGAAAAATAGATTTGATCGTCTAATGTTTTTAGTGTCTTGTCCTGGCCGGTTAAAAGATGCCCAAATGGTATTTTTACTCATATCTCAATTTTTTCAAATGGAAAGAGGGTGGCTCATTACCATATTTTGAAAAAGCATTTTTTTACGAATAATTTGATACCACACACTTGCTATTTCGAGTCAAATTGTCGTTATGAACCGCATATTACAATTTCAAATAAACCATATGCGAAAATGTCAAAAGTTGACATATGATATGTCATTCGATTGAGAGTGTTATTTTCTATCAAATAAAGTAAAAAAATACCGAGGGTGTCATTTATAAATTAAAAGTTGTAGCCATTTCCGGTGAAACCGGAAGTGACAGAAATCAATTGAATACGCCAATCATTCCTAATTTATGTCATATTCTAACATACCAAATCTCGTTGTTTTATCTGAAAAAATAAAAAAGTTATAGGGGTGAGACACTTTTGAGACGCACCCGGTATGCAGCCTCAATGACAGTATGAACGGAGGTATACAGGCAGTTATAGCATCCAAGGGAGGCAATACAAAGTATTAGGGTATTTTTTACATTTTTCTTTCTGTTTGTATCGAGGGGTGTCTCACTATGATAAAAAATGTACACGTACTGCCAAAATATCCTTCAGTGCTAAGCGACTGCCAATGACTATGAAGAAGACTGCCTATGACTGCCATGTAATTATAATAGGCGACTGCCATAAGACTGCCAATGACTGCCAGCGACTGCCAAGAAAATTTACAAGTTATTCCAATAGTGAGACACCCCTCGGTTTGTATACTTGAGTATTACAAATGATTTCTTTAATATCCTTTGTTTCTGTTATTGCTACTAATGTTTATTCAAACCAGAACTGTATCGTTAGTCTTTAACATTTTTTAAGTTAGTATAGAGTATCCAATGCAGGCCGTAATATGAGGTTACGACAATAGTCACCAAAACCATCTCGTTATAATAGAAAAATTACGTCACAAAGTAATAATAATAATAGCTCCCGTATATAGCGTTTAACGCCTTGGGAGTAGCAAGGTACAGCTTGCCATACTAGAGCCGTTCGGTATACAAGGAAGGTAATGTGGCTAGCACTACGCTTCAACCGCCTATTATTACCTCAGGATTGTGAATCCCAAGTACTCATTTAAGGCTGAGTCGACCTAGGTACCCAAACTATTTTTATTTTAATAAAAATAGTCGGCTGATGCAATGCCGGGTGTGGGAATGAAACCCACTACCTTGAAATTGGTAGACGAGAGCCTGTACCTCTACGCCATCGGGCACCTTTTAAAGTAATAATAAATAAAAAAATTGCAAATTGATCGTGATCAGTTCATTTCGATTTTAAATACTATGTGACGACTTTTCTGTCGTTACCCAAATAGAATGAAAAAAGAATCCGTTGCTCAGGATTAGAGGAAAGCTGGGTTCGTAGGTAAGGCTTCTGACTCACAGTGACTTTCTAATGTTGTTAAAAAAAAAAAAAAATGATAATATGTAGGCTGCAGAGATTTTAATATTGATGTTAAGAATTCAAATAGGTATGGTCAAAGACAGTGAAAAGGGCGCCACTTACTTTGTTTATGAGAGTGGTAAAGTAAGAAACCAAAAAGAAAAATACAATATCACAACATAGCTAAAATAAAGTAATCAACAGCATTAAGGGTCTATTATGTTTATCAGGAATAAGTCAGAAATAACTATCCTACATTAAACATTTATTGAAAACGAACACAAGTATCATCAATTAATCACAGTGATCCCAATAAAACCGCAAGTTATTTTAAATAGATTCGAATTTTTGAACGAAGTACTTATATACTTAATATAAAAACAGGTGAAATTTATGTATGTCTCAATACGATGATGTTTCGAAACATGTCGTGTACAAAAACCTTTAAAATGAATATTTGTTAATAATTTTCATATAAAATATCATAGCTAAGTAAGAGTGTACTGTACGAATCAAATTATAACTTATAACGTTAAATAAAAAATAATTTTGAGTACAATATGTGGGATAAATAGTGATAATTTACCAGGTTATTAAATCTGTTGTCTCAAAAATTATAAAATAAAAGCGTACCTTGTGTATCAAACTTAACACTTATCTGTATATAGTTTCTTATGATGTAAACAGGTAGTTAGGTATTCTCCAGACTAACAGAAGTGGATGCAGATGACTATGGCAGGAGAAGTCTTCGATATCAGCCAAAAGAACGATTATAATGTCAGGAACATTGTCTTAAGGTCATGTGGTAATTACTGAGTACCATGTGGTAGTTACTGAGTACCATGTGGTAGTTACTGAGTCCCATGTGGTAGTTACTGAGTACCATGTGGTAGTTACTGAGTACCATGTGGTAGTTACTCTGTAAATAAAAAATAGTTGTCAGGACAGATACTCAATAAAAAAAACAACTTACGGTCTGAAAATCAGCTTTACATAAATATATTCAAACCATATGCCGATCCAAACCAGTAATTAAATACTCAAATAAACGAAATAAAAAACGGAAATAACTGAAATAGAATTTAGTGAGATAGGGCTATATAAAATGGCGGATAAACTTACGGTGATCATTCCAAGAAGAAACCAAACAAATACGATCTATACTCTGAATTGCATACTTTACAAGGTTTTCAAATCTCCAAATCGGACACCCATGCAATGGAAATCGAAAAGTGGATTCAGAGTGCTTTTCACTGGAAAATTTGTGCGCGTCTTCTTCACACACGCGTCTTCTTCAGATCCAAATTCCCAGAAAGAAAGACCTTCTTCTCCGTTTCAGAACCAAAGCCAAAAAACCCTTTTCACCACAGACAAAATGAGATAGAAAAAAGTGATATCATATGATTGAAATCATTAAAACAGAAAATCGCAATCCACAGTGAAGTGAGATTGGGACAAGTGACATGCAATTAAGGAAGTTTGGCATATAGCGAATAGATGGCGCTAATAAACAAGACAAGTGAACTGTAAAAAATGAAGTTTGACATCTAGCGAATAGATGCGCTAATAAAAATTAAATATCGAGACAAATGAGCTGTAACAAATGGAGTCTGGTATCTTTGGCATCTAGCAAATAGATGGCGCCAATACTAAGAAATTTAAATAAAAATAGAATTTTAAATTCAATTTTATTAAAGGAAATAAAAAATGCTACACCTAATCAAAGCATGTATTGACATGAATCAAAACAAAATGCTAAGGAGTCATGGTTCTGACCGTAAAATTATAATTTAGGAAAATTTACACAAGAAATTATTGCACATGGTATTTTAAAGTTGAAGTCAAAAAACAACCCTTAAATTAACCCTGTATAATATCCCAAATATTAAAGTTTGTAAAAAACAGAGTTTACAAATTAAAGTTGATATAATCATATACAGCCTTCTAAAAAAATCATGAAAATAGGACAAAAAATAACAAAAATATAACACTTTAAATTTGTCAACAAATTTCTTCGTTGTTTTTTTTTTGCACCTGAGTGTATAATTTTAATAAGCAGCGTTACTTACTTTTTTATCTTTCTGTTACAGCAGAATACGACTACGATGGGGAATATACGCTACCATCGAATGGCCCACCACCCATAGGGCAGCCGCCCACAATAAAAAATTCGTCTAGATCTACATTCCAACGGCACTTTGGTATAATTGATGCCATCCTCGTACTTTACTCCATTTGTATGTGTTTAACACGACTACCAATAAGGTGATTAGACAACTAAATGTATTAAACGTATCCTTAATTTTCTGTGGAAAGATCTGTATAGTGAAAATGTGTACAAAAGAATATTGAGAACGAAATATGTCTATGAAATTTTTTTTATTTTTTTTATATTTACTTTGCATGTTTCAAAATTAAACTAAATTTATTTTAAATTATTGTGTTTAGAGTTTTTATTGTTATTTATGTAGTATTGTTCTATAGTAGAGATGATTAAAAAAAATTAAGAGAATCTATGGTAAAATTTTCTGCACTACTATATTCTTCATTTATCCACTGTTTTTTTTTTGTTGTTAATTTTTTCATTTAGAAAAAAAAGCAGGTAGCGTAATAAATCAAAATTATCTGATATTCTGGCAGTAGGCTAAATGGCAAAAAAGAAAATTCAGATAAAATAACTAAACAATAGCACAGAAATGTCTACAATAAAAACAAACTTATTATTTCGTTCATACCAATAAAGTAGCTTATACACGGTGTTTCAGAAAGCATTTGTCATCCTTTTGGGGGAAATCCCTTACGTAAAAATAAAATTTATTTTATACTAGCTTAGATCCGATTCTAATTTGTTTCGTAGCTACAGGTGATTAAAGTCTTAATTTTTTTTCGATTTATTATAATTTTCTGCCTGTGTGCTTTTAGCGGTTCGAATAAAATTTTGAAGGTAAAATTCACCAGAAGTGCGACATATTTTAATGGTAAAGAAGTGTCGACAGATACACCAGGGACGTGCATATAGGTTATCACTAGAATATATTTAATAAATTTTTCTCAAAAAACTGTTTGCCACTGATTTTTTGTTGTTGTTAGCTAGATGTATACCGTTTAGCGCCGATTAAAAGTTAGGTACTCATGACATTTTGTCGATTTCGGTCTCCTTGATGAGATAAATGCAATAATTTTATTAATTACAATTAATAAAATTAAAAAATTATTTATTTACTATTATTTGCTATTAAATTTTATTAAAGCTTATAACACTGATGATCAGTGCTACCTACAGCAAATTTAGGAAAAAATTATATTATTTAAGATAATTACCTAGATGACCTATTTTTTTTTAATTTACAATCCAAATAACATCCTGTAACTTTAAAACTATGCAATTTCGGCATCCATGTTTATAAGGACATTCTTTCATATTATTTTTAATGAGAAACCATCAAAAATGAGTTCTTATTTCATGAGTACCCACTTTGCCAGTTAATAACATTAAAATTTTGTAAATGTTATTAGACTTGAATTAAGGCAAACCAATAAAATTGCGATTATCTCATCAAGCAGACCGAAACTGACATAATATCGAGTGGCAACTTTTAATCGACAGTAAACGGTCTATACCGTGCTGGCAACTGTTACTCTTGGGTCGCTATTTACATGTGTAGAAGTAAATCGCATAGGGATCTTAATAAGTCGGAGTGAGAGAAATGCGACGGAGTGCTGTTGCGGCGTTGCCGGTACGCCTTTCCCTATCAAGTAAAGTAAAATCACGATCGCAAACCGCTTATTTTTAGAAGACTTTTTTTTCTAAAAGATCATTTCACTTACTGTCTACGAAGAAAATACAGCAGAAATATTAAGAAAGTTTTTGAAAAAACTACAATCAATTATTTCTAATAGATTTCGAGATATCGATTTTTGAATTCAGAGTTCTAATAGCCCGACCACTGTCGAAAACCAACTCAATTCCACTTATTTTTTCCAAAAATGCAAGTGATTCTAGCTTACACTTACAAATGTTCAAGCTATAGGGAAAATTACAAAGACTCGTTAATAAATAAACAAATAAAGCCTCACGAAACGTAATTAAATCTTGAAGCTGAACGCATGATGTACCTAGAACTTTAAGTACTGACAGAGGTACTGATTGGGTCGACCGGTCAACTGCGACAAATCTGCTATATCCCCTTCCACGTCTTTTAGCAATGTGCACAGTTCCTCGATTCATTTCATAAGTTTGGCAACGTGTTTACTGTTCTCTCTTTGTTCAGTACATTATAAACGCATTGTACTCTTCTTACATACGGAAATCTCGACCCAAGGCTAACCCTTGCCAGCCCAGTATAATTTTACAAACAAGAGAAAAAAAATCAGTGGTGCACAGGCTTTTTTTACATGAATATTCTAGTGATAACCCATATGCATCTCCCTGGTTAATTTGTCGACACTTTTTTTAGAATTTATCATTATTATTTAGCATTACTGTCGTACTATGTCGCACTTATAGTATCTGTTACTCTGAAAATTTTATTCGAATCGCCAAAAGCAGATGGAAGAAAATTACAATAAATAAAAAAAATGAAAAAAAATTGGACTTGATATAAAAAATAAATCTTGTTTTTAGTCCAGGAATCTCCCCACGAGATATGACAGGTGCTTTTTGAAATACCCTGTAGAATTGTCTCAACTCAAATTAAGCAGATAGCAATCTGAAATAAGATTTTATACATTTGTTTTAACTCTTTGAATAAGAAGACTAAGGAAGGAGCATATCAAAAATCTTAGGTACACCGCGATGGGCCTCAAATATGGCCGACTTAAATTCCGGTTTATCAGTGTCGTTCTAATTTTATTTAAAAAATGTAAAACTATTATGTAGAGTAGACGTGGGGTAGACTCAATAATTTGTTGTTTTATTTTACGTTGTGAATAAATGTTGGTAGTTATTAAAATTGTTATAAAAATATATAATTCTAATAAAAATAGATAAGTTATAATAAGTATTTATTAACATAAACATCCGATACGCTACTGAAGCAGGTAAGTCAAATTAACGTATCTAAATTCTTTGACATCTAATCTTTGACAAGTAATAAATAAAAGCTAAAATGCAAGAAAAATATATAATTTAGTTAATTTAAGTGAATTTCATAAATGATCGGTTTACTACACGTATGTATATTATATAGTCACTTACTAACGAAAAGTTGTTCCATTATTTCACTCAATTTTTGCCGAGATCTACCGCACGCTACACAACCAATTATTTTAGAGTCTTTTTCGATAAATCGCGATAGTGTCACTGTTAATTTAAGTTCTGCCACAATTTCCATCTAGATTTACTACCTTTATACAACTATCAGTAGTAGAATAAATAATAAATAACATAAAATAAGCTCCGTAAAGACTGACAAATCCACAAAATTTCAAATCAAATTCAAATGTGTCAAATGAATCGTCAAACAGAACTGTCAAGGATCCCCACCCTAGAGAGCTTTTATGGTGGCTTTTCCGCCCACCATGCATGAATACATGGATAGCATTATGCTCCTTCCTTAGTCTTCTTATTCAAAGTTTTAACTTGAATCTATAAGCAAAATTTGATCCTAATATACAGGGTGGCCCATTAGTGTGAGTAAGTTCAATATCATCGTTGTTGTCACTTTGCTGTAGAGAGGGTGTCACAAAAAAAAGTTTTAAGTTTTTCTAAATTACACCCCCATTTTTTGTAGATAATTGGATTCAGCATAAAATTCTGCATATAGTACACTATTTTTATTTGAAGCACTATGCGGTGTTGTCATTCTATTTCTTATTTACAAACTCAAGCATACTGAAACGTTGATAACACTATATCCGTAAAGTGGCTATAAACTAGAGTTATTATATCTTTATTAATACTAACCTACATTTTCCTAAACACCAAGGATAACAGAATATACTCGAGAAAGAAAATTTACAATATCCTATACAGGGTATTTTTCTGGTTTCACCAAAATCGGAATATTTAAAATGTTATATCATTATTTTTTTAAATGCATCACCCTGTATATTATTTTTCATTTAGATGCCGATTTAAAAAATAAATACCTTGTGTATTTAAATTGTTTCTAAATTTCTAATGAATTTGCAGATATTCGCTGTATTACATATGGGGGTTTCAACGGTAAAATACCAGACAAAGATCATATTAAGTGGCTTTGATAAAAATTTCCTATTGAAAGAGCTATATGTAATATATTACTTCGAATATCTGCGGAGCCTTTAAATATTTAAGAACACTTATACAACTTTTTTATTTTTAATTATGCATCTAAAAGAAAAATAATATATAGGGTGTTAACATTTAAAAAAATGAGATATAGCATTTGAAATATTGCGACGTTGGCGACACCATGAAAATTACCCTGTGTAAGATAATGTAAATTTTCCTTCGCGGGCTTATTTTGATATCCTTGGCGTTTAGGAAAATATATAGCTAAGTATTAATCAAGTTAAATTCACTACAGTTCTTAACCACTTTTCGGATATAGTGTTTTGAACCAAAGTCTTAGTAAATACAAAATAGAATGGCAACACCGCTATTAGTACTGGAAATTAAAATAGCATATTATACGCAATTTTTTTAACGTTGACGATATTGAACTAACTCGCAATGAGCTATGAGCCACCCTATATATTGATATATTTGAAAATAGAAGAATAAACACAAGTAACTTAAAAAACGAAACAAAAATATTTCATAGACATATTTCTATTTGTTTGGGGAATATAGCCACGCATATTATCGACACTACCGAGACTGACTCTGTACATAACTCTCAAGAGATTAGTGTTTAAGAATACGTAGGATTAAGAAATAGTTATAAGTACAAATTGTATACAGAGGCTAAGCTTAACGGTAATAATTATAGAATATAAAAATAAGCGTAAAAACGCCTAGTATTTTCAAGCTTTCTAAGTATAATTTTTTTTATTAATAAAAATTCATCTGTAGTTGCCAGTAGTTCAAAATATTTATTAAAATAAGAATAATTTAGCATGGGAAAGTGCTATAATGCTAAATTCGAGTATTAAAATAATATATGTGTTTATTTAAATATTGTTAATAAAATCAGTAGAAATATGAGTAATAAATTAATATCTAAGAAAATATATCAATGGACCAGATAATTCATAATATGTTAACCCATGATACGCATCTCTATCAAAAAATACATACTGAAAAGAATAACATTTACAGGATATTTCAAAAAACATGTGCTATTT